ATTGGCAAAGTAAAATTCTTCAACTCAAGCAGAATATTGATTTCTGGAGGACGCTCCCACTATCTATGGCCGGTAGGATCAACGCCATTAAAATGGTGGTATTACCGCGTTTCCTTCATTTATTTCAATCTGTCCCATGTTTTATAGGTGTATCCTTCTTCAGACAATTAGATTCTATTATTAATTCCTTTATTTGTGGCTATAAAAGAGTCCGAATTTTCAAAAAACACTTATGTAAGCCGGGGATGGATGGTGGGTTCTCCTTACCCGATTTTAAGCAAGTATAAAGTATTGCTATTCTCAGCAAAACAAATCATTTCCTAAATAATGCAGTGTGCTGTGCGAGAGTGTGCACGACCCATTTCTGCTTGTGTACTCTCTGTTTAAACGTTGCTGTTTGCATCGCTTATACAAGCTTATGTTCCAAAAGAAGATTGCAATTTTCTATTACATAAACATATCACCAGAATTGTTGACAATTAGGAGGACCACTTATTTTGATGATCCACCCGTAAAAATAACTTCCTCCACTATACCTTTAAGTTCCCCCTATTGATAAACACGGTAATTGCAAAATAAATAATAATTTGAACTTGCCTTCACTTGGATAGACATGAAAGTCAGACATTTAGGATAGGACGAGGTTTCAATTGGCCTTCTATATTCATAGGATTGATTAATATTGAATGAGACAGTGAGCCGTTGGAATTAATTTCCTGGTGTGAAGAAGATGACGTAATGATGTAAGCTGCTTGGTGGGAGGGAAGAGAGCTACATTTTAAACTCAAGCTACTGGACTGTGAACCGGTTCACTAAACGGGTGAAGGAATAACTTGTTCAATGCTGCAAAGATGAAATTAAGTTAACCAGGTCAGCTTATGGATGTGGAAAGTGAAGGAGAAGGATAAGATGAAAACAAGGATTTTAGGCCAAACGTTAGAGAAAGATGCCTAAATTATCAATGCATATTGTAAAACTGACACATTTATTTAAAACGGACTTTGCACAATAGACAAGCGTGGTAGGTAATGTGGCATGGCGTACACAGCTCTGGGAATATATGGGCTGACTCTAAGTTTTTTCAGTCAAATCGATTACTTTTGCTTTAAAACCTGTTCTAAATAAACAGTGAGAGAGAGACTGAGTCCTACTGTGATGAGTTTAGCAGAGCAGCACTAGTAACCTTTATACTAATGCTACATTCAAACCACATGCAATGGAAGCAACTAAAGCAGCTGGTTTAGATGCAAAGTCAATGGTTGACACGGATCAAGGAACGTCAGAAGATCCTGCAGCGTTTTTCGAGCTGCAGGAGCAGCGCACTTTGACGCATCTGAGCAGCCTGAGCAGCGCCTTCAGACGCATTTGGACACAATTTACCTGATAAACCACAGGAGTATCAAATGTACTATTGAGGTGTGTCTGACCTTTATACAGGCATCAATAATGAAGCAACAGGTACTTTTTTGCTGCTCAAATCAAGTTAGATTGGTAAAAGCTTTAATCTAGATACACAAAACGGAGTACTGGCGTTATGCCAAGAAATAACTGCCAGCTGAGAATTGCCTCCCCTCTCGCACACTTTTCATTCATATTTCAATCCGTTTTCTCATGAGTGAGACTGGAGGTCATTCTCAACAGGCGAGTATTTCTTGGCATAACACTTTAAGAGACCTTCTCTTATGGAGATTTCCTTCTCTCTAGGTACATCCTGGCACTTTGCTGCCTCTCTAGGTGAAATACAAAATTACCAGCGGAAGGGTTTCCAGCATTGAGAACTTTTGCAAAGGACGGGGCACTGATGTATGCGTACAATTGAAAAATACGCAAACAGCTATTGGACAAATCTTCCACCACAGAATCCTCTTTCATGCCTTTAATAGGCTGATCCTAAAGCACCTCCACAGGTACCTTTCCCAGACCTGTTGGTCCACATGGTTTGTTGACCTCACCCCTCCACATAGAAGCAGTTAAGTTCTAATTCTAGGGAAGTTAATCTTACTAATGTATAGGTGTTGGATCTGAACATCTGTTGAGCTACATTTGGGCCATAAAGTTTGTTTAGAGACATTCTTAATATACTCTAACGAACAAATTTTGAAACTGAAGGGAAATATATATTTTCTATTTTTGACATTTGGAGAAAATTTTTTAAAAGAAGAGCATTTATTGATTCACATTAGAACTCACACAGGTAAGAAGATTTATGACCTAAACCTAATTTTGATGCACACAAATCAAAATGTACACTGGTGAGAAGCCTTTCTCCTCTAGGATTTGTGGCTAATGTTATACTGCAGAAAGTAATTTGACTGCACACATTAGCACTCACAATGGTGAGAAGCATTTCCTCTGCACAATTTGTGGCAAAGGTGGTACTGGAACACACCATTTGATTGAAAACAGGACATCTCCCGCAGATATAAGCCCTCTTTCTTCTATGAAATGCGGAAAGCCCTTCACTCAGAAATCTAGTCACTCACTTCACACTGGTGGGAAGCATTTCTTCTGTACAATATGTGGCAAATTTACTAGAAATTGGACTTACCACATGACATCTCATTCAGATGTGCAACTTTTTTCTTATAAACCTGTAGAAAAGGCTTCAATCAGAAATACTATGGATGCACGATATTGGGATTTTGGCCGATATCCGATATGCCGATATTTTAAAACTCATGTAGCCGATAACTGATATCGATACCGATGTTAAAGTTGGACAAAAATAAGTAGTCATTGAAAATAGCCGTTTTGTTATCCATTTCTGACGCTTTGAAAAATAATATACTCAAATATATTTTCATATGCTGATATCAAATAGATTTATAAAAACGCGGTATCGATCTATTTTACTTTCAAAATCTCGTGAAATTTCATCGTTCTGTTACAAACTCTTGTGATATTTTGCAAATTCTTGTGAGATTTTGTTAGTAAAATAGATAGATACCGCGTCAATATATCAACATATAAAAATATGGCAAAATTTTGTGAATTTTCGGGGGATTTCATAGCATAATGATGACATATAGCAATATTTCATTAGTAAAAGAGATTGATATGGTGTTTTTAAATGGCAATATATCAGCATATGAAGATATTGTGATATTTTAATGTGTCAATATTTTTTCCCTCGTCTTGAGAAGTTTTTAAGTCTGTAAAAAAGAAGTTTTTGAGGAAGAAGAAGAAGTAGTATTTTTTTTTTTTTTTAGACTTTAGAAATTCAGAAGCTGATCAAATATCGGGTTAAATATCGGTGGGGTGGCCGATGTCCGATATTCAGTTTTAAGGCCGATACAGGCCGATACCGATAGGGGGCCGATCATATCGTGCATCCCTAAGAAATACCATCTTAAAACACACACGAGAATTTACAAACCTGAGATGAAGAATTCATTTGACCCCTTTCGCACAATAACTTACAGCAGGGGGAAGCCTTTCTCCTGTACAATTTGTGGCAAAAGTTTTACTATTGTAAGTAATCGGAGTAATTTTTAATCAGTCTCAAATTATCTTAAAACGTACTTTTATTGAACAAAAGCAAAAATGATTTTGGCCGCAAGCAGGTGGTGCTAGTTTACTGGGCTAGAAGTTCATCTTACTGAAGTATAGGTGTTGGATCTGAAGATCTTCAGACTCAACTACCTGAAAACTATTGTTCCCATGAAGGCAGATGAACATCATAGACATTATATATGTAGACGCCTCATTGGACGCGGGGCCACACCCCTAGAGGGCACGCGTTATATATGGTTTTTTTATGTATTATATAACACATATTAACTGATTAAAGAACTGATGTTCAGATATGCTTTAAGTTAATTAAAAAAAAACATAGTTTTAAAAAGAGTTTTAAAAGAAGTTTAGACAAATTTATATGAACCAAAACCCTTTAGTAAACCACAATTTAAATTTACCATTCACCACGAGTTGAAGAAAAAGTCTTTACAAAAAATAAATAAAAATGAAAATAAAATTAATAAAATAAAATAAAAACTAAATAATAACTTCACTCATTTATAAATCATATTACAACTAATTTTTTCTCTATAGATCGTAATACTCATTATAAAACAGCAATCCTTAAAATACAGAATAATAATAATATGCTATATAAATATTTAATATTTGATAAACCCTTATAATATATTGGTATATAAATTAGTGTTCATCATATTATTATTTAATTGCAAAATGTATAACTGCATAAATCTGAGCCAGTTTGAGTTCAGTTTAAATAGTTTTTAATCTGAATAAATATGTGTAGTCTAACGTAAAAAGCTTTTGGTTTTTTAAGTGGTTGTTACATGTAAAAGATTATTGTAATATTATCTTTGACTCGTCTTTCATGTGATTAAGAAAAAATCTAAGGCGCCTCCTATTCATTCTGACGGCAGCTTTCTGAACTGTGGTCCAATGCAAGATGGCCGCCCACTAGGCACATTGGCCTCGCTGCCGACAGCGTCCAATGAGGCATCTACGTATATAATGTCTGTGTGTGGAGCTACATTGGAGCCATAAAGTTTTTTCAGAAACAATTTTTTACTCTAAAAAAAATTTTTTGAAACTGAATTCTGAACTGCATGCTGGGAGATGTAGTTCCAAACGGTTTGTATAGTTAAATTGACACAAGGATGATTTAAGTGTAGTCTCTTTCCTTAACCTTCAACAGAAAGTCTTCCATCAATCCATCTTTTACTTATACATCAGAGTCACAGTGGGGCTGGTTCCTATCTATTCCTATCTACAGCAACCTGTGGGAGAAAGGCAGGGTACATCGTGGACAGGTCATTAAAAAAATATCCTGTTCATGCAAATTACTAAAACCTTGGTCAAAATGCTGGAAGATGCAGTTCGGAACCTTTTATATGTCATTAGATCGACACAAGGATGGTTAAAGTGAAGTGTCCTTTCTTTAACCTACAATTGAATATATTTCTGTCATCTTTCCAGACCGCCTACAGGATTATGTTGGAAAAGAGGAGGATTTCTCTGACCAGCAGCTCTATGGACAGGAGAGGAATTTCAGTTTGGACCAAGAGGAACCAGAAGCTCTGCAGATAAAAGAAGAGCAGCAAGAACCAGAACATCCCTGGACAAAAGAGGAAACCATGGAGGTCCTCATTAGTGAGCATGAAGAGCAGCTTGTTCTGAAGCAAGAAACTGAAGTTACAGGAGAGGAATTATTCCAATGTTTGCCATGTGGAGAAAACTTTATGAAACAAGAACTTTTAATAGATCACATGATAACTCACACAGATCAGACGAATATTGAATGTTTGTCCTGTGGAAAAAAATTCACCTATAAATCTGACCTTGATAAACACATCAGAATACACACAGATTTGAGGCCTTTCAAATGTCCGTCCTGTGGAAAGGGTTTCAGAACGAAATCTCATCTTAACAACCACATCAAAATCCACACAGGTGAGAAACCTTTCTCCTGTACAATATGTGGCAAACGTTTTACTGAAAAAAGTAGTTTGACTAAACATGTGAAGATTAATTCGGGTGAAAGACCTTTTTCTTGCAAGACCTGTGAAAAAAGTTTCATCTATGAATCTGACCTTAATAAACACATCAGAACTCACACAGGTGAGAGGCCTTTCTCCTGTACAACTTGTGGGAAACGTTTTATTGAAAAAAGTAATTTGACTGAACACCTGAAGACTCATTCAGGTGAAAGACCTTTTTCTTGCGAGACCTGTGAAAAACGTTTCATATCCAGATCTCACCTTAATTACCACATCAGAATTCACACAGGTGTGAGGCCTTTCAAATGCCTGTCCTGCGGAAACCGTTTCGCTTATAAATCTGACCTTAAAAAACACATCCAAGTTCACTCTGTTGAGAAGAAATTCAAATGTCTGTCCTGTCCACACAGTTTCAAAAAGAAATCTCTTCTTGATAAACACATCAGAACTCACACAGGTGAGAAGCCTTTCTCTTGTACAGTTTGTGGCAAAACCTTTAATGAAAAATGTAGGTTAACTGAACACATCAGAATTCACACAGGTGAGAAGCCTTTCACCTGTACAGTTTGTGGAAAAAGCTTTGCTGTAAAACGTAGTTTAACTGCACACATGATAACTCACACTGATGAGAAACCTTTGTCCTGCACAATATGTGGCAAAAGTTTTACTGGAAAAACCTCTTTAAATAAACACCTCAGAAGTCACACAGGTGAAGAGCCCGTCTCTCGTACAGTTTGTAGTAGCGAAAGTTTTGACTAACTTAACTAAACATTTTCATTCTTGACACATGAAACTGATCTTAAAGAGATTTGTTTCTTCACATAAGAAGTCACAGTAGTTAAGCCGTGGACTCACGGAATCCAATTCTTCCTCTGATTAGATTAGATGAGCTTTATTGATCTCACAGCGGAGAAATTCCCTGGTCACATATTGGCATAGTAATTGTACTAAACGACAGAAAATCGTGTCTGATGAATTCATGGCATTTAGCGCTCATTGAGACAACTTTCTGCAAAAGGACTTGTGTGGCTCCGACTAAGATAGATTCCATGGCTATTAGGGATGGAACGGTTTTTGAAAACCGTCCGAACCGTTCGGTTCGACTGTCTCTGTTCGGTTTGCGTGTGTTTCGTTCGGTTCATGCGCTGCTCCTTTTTCTCATAGGCGAAGTGTTTACACTCCAGAGCAGAAGGTGGCGGTACTGCGACCAAAGCCAACCACCAGTAGTAAACAAGAAGAACAAGCGAAGCAGCTTAGCCGGGTGTAGCAGAAAAAATCAGTTGTTGTGGAGAATTGTGTCGGAATGGCGAGTGGGAAAGAACAGGCGTTGGAAGACGCGCCAGCAGCACTTTATAGGTCTGCTGTATGGGAGCGCTTTGCATTTAGAGTGACCTACGATGACGGCGGAAAGAAAGTTGTGGATAAAAGTGCAACATTGTGCAACACGTTTTGTTTATGCTAACACCAACACGACCAACATGTCATGCTAACCCCGAAATCCCTCATACTCCGTCAGCGCTCCGCCCCGCTGCGCTCCAGACGGTCTGCACAAAGCAAAGCCTACAGCCCCCGCTGTGGCTCCCGTCCGCTCCCCTCTGAGTCCCTTGGAGATGTTAGAGAGCATGCGCGAGATGATTAAATTCAAAGCAGCAAAACATGCGGAAATGATCCAGGGTTTCCGCGGATCATTTAAAATAATTACAATTCATTGATGTTTTTGGATTTTTTTCATTAATTTCATAAATTTGTATTTTTCATTGATTTTTATAATTTTTTTAATTTTTCGGTGTAACAATAAACACTTGAAGCTTTTTTCCGTACCACTCTATGCAAATGTTTTTTGTATTGCATCATTTTCTGTTGTGGATGTTTTCCATTAATGTAATTACTTCTAGATTGATGTAACAAGCAGAAATGTCAGCCTCTTGGGTTCTAAAACTTTTTATGGTTTCATATAAGTTACAATCTTTTTCCATGTTTTCTCTGATATTTTAAGGAAAGCTAAAGGTTTAATATAAATTGTTTAACGGTAATAAAATGTTTAAATGAGAATTAATAAATGTGTCTAGTTTTTCTTTGTGGTCATTGCTTGGTGAATTTAGTTATGTCTGATTTAGTTTAAACAGATGAATTTGTACATGTTGGCTCTGAAAAGGAAAGTTGGAGTTGGTACATGAGACTTTAAAGAAAATCACAATATAGGACGGACCTGTAAAACCAATGTTTAACCATTACTGGTTATTCCTTTGGTATTTGGAGATTGGAGCTTCTAAAGTCCCAGTCAGGAACTCACTTGTATAGTCACCTGATCTAAGACCTCTACAGCCTGAATGTCAGAGGTTACTAACCATTAAATTCTCTTCTACTTAAATTCTAAAACTTCAGTCTTAATGATAATATGCTCTAAACACTGCATCAGCAGGGTAGCCCGATAAACCAGATTAAATGTGAGATTCAATGAGTAATTTAGTCTGGCCCTGATGAATGAGACCTCGGAAGATTGTTGATAAGAACAACCTGTTGTCTTTCAAACCATGTCTGTGGCAAAAGCGTCACTATATGGTCGATTTACCGATTTAATGCGTAATTAAAAAAACTTTCCGAAGTTGAGAGAACTGCAGCAACCAGCGTACCTCGGAGGCTAACGGCAGCCCGTCTGCAGCAGTTCGAGCGTTGGCCAATGATTTTGACCAACGCTCTGACCAATTAGCGCAACTGACAGTGACATAGGAAGCACGACAGAAAGCAGGTGGGGGAGTGTAAACAAACTGCCTGAGGGTAAAACGGCGAATACGTCCTTCTCAAAAATGAATGAGCTTAGAGCCTCTTCCTGCTCACGTTTCAGCTAAAACCCCAAGTTTAATCCTTCCACAACTGATTCCAAAGCTGAGTCAAAAATCGCCATTAGAGCCAGTGGTCCTTCCAACACGGCTATGCTGAGAGAGGGGCTGCGGTTAGCCCTGGCTGCCGTTGGCTTCTGAGGTACACTGGTTGCCGTGGTTCTCTCAACTTCAGAAATTGTTTTTTTAATTAAGCATTAAATAGGTAAATGGACCATATATTGACCCTTTAAAGTATTATATCCCCTCAAATTATCTGAAAACGTATTTTTGTTGAACAAAAGCGACAGAAAAAATAACTTTTAACTTTCAATGGAGCGCTCCATTGAAAGCTGCTGCTGCTGTCAATAACACTGTTCAATAGTTGTTGCCATCTTCCTTGTTGTGCTTTCTCCAGTGTCCTGCAGCTTCGTCGTCACGCCCTCAAAACCCCGCCCACTTTGCATCCAAATATTTAAAACACATCTCTGCATTGTGATTGGCCAGCCAGTTCTAGGGCCTGGGGCAGTTGGGGCTAGTTTACTAGGCTATCAGCAAGGATCAAATTCTACATTTAAATCTGTTCTTAGCTGAATAAGTCTAAAATGACTTAAGATGTGCTAAAATGATCAGATCTACGATTCAGTTTAACATAGTGTATAGATAGATACTTTATTTATCCCCGATAGAGGAAATTCACCTGCCCCATAGCAAAGATAAAAACATATAAAATAACATTAAAAAAGTAAATCATATTTAAAGATAATATTAAAAAAAACTCAGGTCTTCAAGAGTGGAGGCTGATAACAAAAGAACTTCTATATCTCTTGTTGGTATAAATCCCAGGAAAGTCTAATGGAGACACCTGCTCTCTGGAAAACGGTGATGTTCAAGTTATATACAAATTCAGAGTTACATTTAGGGAACCACACATTGCAGCAGTGTTATCTTATATTAATATACTAACATTAGATGTGTTTAAGAAACACTATCAGTTAATTTGATCTTTTTGTGATTTGATGAACCTTCATTAAATTGTTAAATCTAAAAAACAGTTTAAACTGTATTTACTGGAAAAAAGTGAAATGCCCTGACAATAAAAGGTTTGTAGTTACCTTTAAAAAATACAATTACTCTGCATATTTTCCTCCTAAAATTGCAAAACCTAATTCCTTGGTGCTAAGATGTTTTCTAGAAAATATTTGGTGTTGCAGGGATCAGTGGATTCATGGAAAAGTGTCTTTTTTTTCCTGACAGAGTATTTGGTGGGTTTCTTTTATAACTAAATAAAAGGGGTTTTAGATTTCAGTCAATCAGCATCTTCTTTTAGTGCTTCCTAAATAGATCTGCTGTAGATTGTAAACCAGGCGTGCTCAGTCCAGTCCTCAGGTTCTACCATCCTGTAACTTTTAGATCCATCTCTTCTCTAACGCATCTGAATCAAAAGGCTCAATCCCCTCATTTATCTCAGCAGAAGCACGGTAACGAGCCCCTCATCTGATTCAGGTGTGTTAAAAATGGGGTGCATCAAAAAGTTGCAGGATAGTAGCTCTTGAGGACCAGACTTAAGCACCCATGGTGTAAACATTTGTCCAATGATGACCAGATGCGTCTCCGTTGGACCCAGCAGCCATTTGGATAAATCACTCTGCAGGAAAGGAAAGGATAATGTTGTCACCAAGTTGGAAACAAAGAGTTGTGCAAAATTGCAACAACATCAGCAGCCTCACCGCTTGAGAAGATCAGTCTGTGTCCGTAGAGTTTATCAGAGAGAACCCTGAGAGAAATAGGAGCTCTACTAGAAGGGCACCAGGAGAGAGAGCAGGCAGCACCGACACCAATGGAGAGTTGGTCAGCATGATTGTGACTAGCAGCACCAGTATCAGCCTCAGCGAGTCAGAGGAAGAGCTGGGACACAGTAGGGTGAAGAAGAGTGAGGCCGGTGTTGTTGCAGAGTCCTCTGAGAAGAGACAGAGAGTCTCTGAGCCAGAACCAGGCACCAGCAGCTCAGTCTGTGACCTGCACACTAGAGACTGACACGGGAGTGGATTTTCACTCCTGTCCCGTCCAACTCCCACAGAAAAAAATTGTGTCTCGTCCCGATCCCGGGCCAGAGTAGAAATCTAAATACTGTCCCATCCCACTCCTGGTGAAATTACTCTCATTCCCATCCAGCTCCCATTCAGAATGACTCCCGCTCCCGCACCACTCCCATTCTTGTTGTCTTTAATAAGATTTCTGTCAATACGTTGAATCTGAATTTCTATGAAGGGTCAGTTAAGTTCCTGTTTCTAACTGTAGTAAAGGTCAGTTAAAGTAAAAGGAATAATAATTATAAATAATAATAATAAATAATTATAAATACATAATAAAAGTAACAAACAAGGAAACAGACCATGCTTATCTTAGGTGAATAAACAATCAAAACAATCAAACTTTTCGAAGTCGAGTTCGCCACTAACCGTTGGTCCCTCCATTGTTGTTTGAGCGCGGGTGAAAAACTCAGAGCGGAAGCACTGTTGGTTTTTGGGTCGTGTAGTTTTTTTGACTCACATTAGTGTGTAAGCTTCAAGGAAAAAACGACAAAATGGCCGCGCCAGTACTGGATTTTTATTCTTTCTATTTTATTTTATTTTTTGGCATCGATCCCAGTTTTTTTTAGTTACTATTGGTTTGCTCCCGCTCCCGTCTGCTCCCGTTACAGTTTAATCCTGTACCGTCCCAATCACGTGATCATTACTAATACTGACCCGTGGGATTCCCGAAAAAATGTCAGTCTCTACTGCACACAACAAGCAAATGTGAGCCCAACATTGAAATAATGTACCTCTGCCGCTCCTGGAGTGGAAACACAAACATCTTTACTGTTTCTACTGAGGCTAAAGACAAGATGTTTTACTCTTTAACAGTTTTATTGTTAAGAGATAAAATGGTATAATTTTTGTGCTTGTAGATTTAATTCAAAGCCAAACAGCTTTTATTAGCAGTGCTAGAGTTAACAAATAGTACGCAACCCCCTGAATAAACCATTTTCCCTATGAAACAGGATGGTGGCAGTATCATGCTGTGGGAATGCTCCTCTTTAGCAGGAACAGGGAAGCTGGTCAGAGGGAGTTATTGGTGCTGTTTAATTTAAATTGAATACTGATTATAAACTATTTTCTAGTTGTATTGCAGCCAGACTTAAAAAGGTATGTCAGATAAATTTGTAAAACTCAATCGGTTTTTTTTTTTTTAAAGAAAGATCCATTCATAATAACATTGGACTGGTTTTAGATTTAGTTGATTAAAGTGATTTAATTAATGATAATTGTTTTGTTTTGTTTTGATTCTGTTGAACATCCATTTATCTTTAAAACTTT